AATAACGACTTTCCTCTTCATCTAACATAAAATAAATTCTTTTACAAAGGTAGGTTGTCTGATGGCTTGCATTTTTGGCCTGAAAAATTTATGTTTTGGTTATAGTAGTGCGGTACCGCTTATAGTGCTGATTTTCGCGACATACGTTATATGCAGTCTACACTGTATTTACCTACATTGCGGTCTATCATAAGGTGAGAAGCACAGTGCTTAGATCAGCCATGCAGAGCGTCGTTAGCAGGATTGCTCAATAACTTGTTTTGGGTATAAGGCCGCAAAGCAGAATATTCATATTTCCAAAATCGGCGTCTGTGCGCGTTTCGTAAGTGCTGCCAAAAATGATGTCAAAAAATCTCTAATAGAATGGTTGTTCACCACATTTTTCGTCGCAAATAGAAACAACTGGCACTCCACTGTTGCATTTCTGCCTGCTACGTAGCCGAACAGCAAGTTTGTTTTGGTTCATAGTTGGCACACGTACCACAGCAGAGATAGCAAAAGCATTGTGGTACACTCGTCAAGTGAACCAGGTCTCAGGGTAAAACTTATGTCGATGTGTCAAACAAACTCGCTATTACAGAGGCGACCACAAAAACGTCATGTCTATGGTGATGGGGCTGGCCACCTTACACCATGATTCTGTGCTTTGTTCTTTTAGTTTTTGTTTTCAATTTTGATTCGAACGCACACATAATTTTGAGTATATAATTTGGGGTGAAAAAAGCATGTTAGTAATGTGCAAATGCTGTATCCCTTCAATTTAGCGAAGAGTGCTTAAAACTGACTTTGATACCAACCTGTCCTTCGTGTTCCTGGAATAGTGGAGTTGATGACCTGTTTGCAAAATCCTCGCCGAGGTCCTCAGGACGGGGCTCAGGAGGGGGCTCCAGATGGGGCTCCGGGCGGGGCTCCGGACAGGGCTCAGGAAGACGCTCAGGAAGGAGCTCAGGAAGGTGCTCAGCCAGGGGCTCAGGCAGGGGCTCAGGCAGGGGCTCAGGCAGGGGCTCAGGCAGGGGCTCATGCAGGTGCTCATGCAGGTGCTCAGGAAAGGGCTCCTCTCCCTCCATGCACGGCACCTGCCATAACAAAGTACACAATAAAACCACTTCAAACTATATTCCACTTGAAGTTGTTTCCAGTACTGGCAAAACCACAGGCACAAGGACATGGTTTTCAAAAGCACTTTCTACATGCCAGTAGTCATGTATGCAAAGCATTTTGCTGTTCGACTCGTTCCCACCCACACCTTCATCAGTACCGAAAAGAATATGTCAAATAGAGCATAGGGTCAAGTAAGGTGTTCTCCGGCAAACACATCTTTACACAATAAATCATCAATATTCTGTTCAAGATGTATCAGAGATGAACCTGCTTTTTCATAAACAGCAATTTCTCACCAAGGCCCGAGCGGAGACATCGCTGATTGGTGGTCGATTCCTGGGAACCTGGTCACTGGGTCGGCTATCATAAAAATAAAGGCATACTGGAGTTACTCCGAACATTAAAATATTTCATAAGGAAAGTTAAACAAATTACCCCAGCACGCTGGTCCTTGCACTTGAAACGCTTAGTGGTGCAGGAGCTGCCTCTGCTTGAGCTCGTGGTCCCTTGACTTGGACATTAGCTCCTGGATGAACATCTATAAATATTAAGACTTAAGAAATCTGTAGTTTTTTAAAACAACTATAAACAAGCCAATTCATCCCAAAGTGCACATACCAAACTTAGAGAGGAGGGTCCAGGACAAAGCTTTCCTTAACTGCCGCTCCTCCTCCAGCTCCTTCTTTGTAGCTGCTAGCTCCGTCTTCACACGTTTCAATTCTCTCTCCAGATCACCGTTAGCCTCCCTTTCAACTCTTAGCAGCTTCTCAGGGACAACCCCTTCGTCATCATCCTCACTGCTGTCGACACTCGGTGCCGCCCTTTTTTTCCTGCTCAGAATGTCGGTCATCTCCTTTTTGCGTGAAGCCCTCTGGGCAGACATCTGCTCTCGTCTTGATCTTGTACTGGTTGCCTGTAAAACCAATCTGTTACAACTGTACCATGACACACATAGGGTGGTTCAAGTCACCAGGCTCGATCTAAAATGGACCGTAAAAATCGACGCCTGCACGTAGCCATCTAAACTTTTCGCCAAAGGTGTAATTCACAGGTTGGTTTTTTCTTGTAAAATTACAAAGCGTAGCTCTCTTTCTGTAAAAAATAAGGCCAAGAAAGTTGCCAGGGTCTACGGCGGGCAGCAATGCAGACGACAGTGGTCCGGTAGCAGTGTGTGTTTGGCGTTCGTATTGATAGATGGCGCTGCCTTCTTATCGCGACGTGCAGGCGTCGATTTTTACCACGGTGGACGGCTCGCGACCACCGTGGTTTATTAAAATGAATATAATATTTTCGAAATGTACCTTCGGTTAAAAAATAAATGCGAACAATAAAAACAAACTTAAAGTAAAAAAACGCGTCTGCATAACGGCGGTGCTTTTGCTGCCAACGGATTTCGTCTGCGTGTCGTCTGCTTTCTCTCGCTGGTCGGCTGCACCTTCCGACGCTGCTCTCGATGCCATCTATCAATATCTATCAATACGAGCGCCAAACACACCCCGCTACTGGATTTAGTCTGGGTTGCCGCCCGCCGTAGACCCCGGCAAGTTTCTTGGCCCTACTTTTTACTAAAAGAGAACTACGCTTTGTAATTTAACAAAAAAAAAACTGACCTGTGAGAGACACCTTTGACATAAAGCTTAGATGGCTACGTGCAGGCGTCGATTTTTACGGTCCATTTTAGATCGAGCCTGGTGACTTGAACCACCTTATATAACTAGAGAATTATCTGACTGTCATTGATGGGGCCCTCGAAGATAACAGGCAGAGCAGTTGCCCTTGACTTTAAGATGCTCTTTATCAGTTCCTGCTGATTTTCTGGTTTTGAAAACAAACAAAAAATAAACAATAAGCACATGAAAAGTTAGCCCCTTCTAAGAAACCTCTACAGCAAGTGTGATAGCCGGACTAATGAATATCCATACTAACGGGCACTTTAAAGGAGTTCTGAATTATCCCCTTTAAAGAATCAGGGGATCAGCGCACGCCAATAAGTGCGAGGTCGCGACCTGATTCACCAATTCTTTCAAGGAGTTGAAAGAATTGGTAAAGGGGAAGGATGGAGGGACAGGTAAAGTGGGTAGTGGTGGAGTGGGTGGTGCTAGGCTGGAATGGGGGATTAATTCATTGCTTTGAAACTTAGTAAATATCGTTTCACCACTGCGATACGTATTTCAATAAATTTGAGCTCGCTATGGGCCGACGCCAATTTTTTCGGCTCCTTTCAGAGGTATATACACGATTGCAAGTAGGGCCTGCGGCGGCCGCGATTTGGGTGGCACACACTTGGTCGTACGACGTTTAAGCCAAGGCCGACTTTTTGTCGAGACACTTTACGAATGGTCGGCCGCCGAAAAGCGGTGCGTGTTTACGTGGGCTAGGTGGTTTAACGTTTTGTGATGAGGCGCCGCAGACTGTCGCCGTGAAGCGGCGTGAACGCCGCGGGGGGATGGGTTAACACGCGCCCCAGTGATTTGCTAAAACGTCGATCGCACAAATGACCGCTGTTCGCTAAAGCATAATTCGCTCCTGTGATACGGATCCCTCCTGCAAGAGCCTCCCGCAACACAGGCCATGTAACTGAGAATCTGAAAGACCATAGTTACTTCTACACGACCGTTCGTTACCAGTGGCCGTAACAAACCCTCTCGCTCGTTCACGTGAACATTTGTTGACAAATGTCTTACCTGCCAACTGAAGGATAAAGGCTGCGTAATAGCCTTCTTGATCCCCCGTCGCAGTCCTCCAGTAGGCTTCGTAATGACGCCCTTTGTCGTAGTCGACAACAGTCTTTGGGTTGAAGTGTCTAATTAAAGTCGCTGGAACAATAGCCTTAATATTGTCCTGAACGTACCGTACATGGGCAAACATCATTAGCTGTTGAAAAGAAATAAGCGCTGGAGACGGCCGCAACAACCACGTTGCTCGCGTTTAGGTAAACAAGCGCACATGTATTCAGCACCGGTCAGAAACTGCCGGTGGCGGCGCGCCGGCGTTTTTTTGTTTTTTTTTCTCCGGCGGCGGTGCGGCGCGGAGGAGAAACAATGTTATAAAAAATACTTGCACAAATAAAACACGAAAATGGTTAAAAAAAGAAAACACCAATATCAAGCAATAATGTACGCCGCGGTTACGATGCGCCGGCGTGATAATATTTGTGGAATCGGTTAGCGGCGCAAGCGGCGTGACTGCGGCGGCGGCGGCGGCGGCGGCGGCGGTGCGTCGCTCACACGCCGCACGCGTCTGTTCCTAACCAGTGTTAGCGTTGGCGGCAACACTTCGATAAAAAATTCATTATATACGAGCAGTCAGCGATTTTTAACGATGCATTCTACAGCAAGCCCCAACTTTAAACGTCTCTTGCTAAAAAAAAAAATAACTTGAAATATGCTTCACGACATTTATAATCTACTTTTGACTTGTGTTTTTGCTATTTTTATCAACCACCCAACGGCAACCCGATGAAGTGAAATCCAAATCCAACACGAAACAACCATTAGCTTCACCTGCTTCACCGGCATCACATTTGGGAAGTGCGAAGTGGTTCGGGGTTCAGTCGCGCTATTATGTCTGCCAAACAGTTGCCGTTGGACGAACCACAAAATAAACGATCCAAGAAGGTGTACTTGGAACCAAATGAACCTTTTAATGTTCCGTCATCGACACTGCTCTACCGGAGCAGCCTACCCCGTGAATCTAGCGAGCCCGTTAGTGACAATCCAGCTGCTACAACGGACTTGAGTACTGACAGTGCGACTCGTGCAGCGACTGAAGAAGTAAGTGAAGACGTACCCTTTACAACTTTGTATCCAGATGCCTCACAGTTCAACGAGGTGGACGCAAATAACCTGCAGGACATCGAGCGTGGCGACGTGAACGATGATCCCGATGAAGGCCTTCAGGACGACTCGTTTCCTGATGCAGCACAGATTGTGGCGTGCTGCTTTGAAAGCTTGCGGCACGTAATTCTGCCGATGTCCAACATTAGCAAGGCAGAAGTGTTGGCCATGGTAATGAGGTTTGTTACGTCTGAGAACCTAACGTGGAGTGGTTTAGACAACTTGCTGTCACTGATTAATGTTATCTGTGGAATGGAGGTACTTCCTCGTACCAAGTATCTGTTTAGAAAGTTGTTGGCGTCGAAGCTCGGGCGTTCAACAGATTTTTACTACTGCAAGTTCTGTGAAGGCTACCTACCTACACCAGAGGACAGGACATCAAAAATTATATGTGCAACATGCCAGAACTGCACCACCATCTCGGAGCTTCGAAGCAAGGGCAGCTTCTTCACCATCCTTGATCTACACGACCATGTGCGGCAGATTATCGGCAAGACGTCAGAGGGGCTCTTCACCAACTTAGAGAAATTGAACGACAATTCTGAAGAGACGATATCTGACTTCACTGATGGAAGCCTCTACAAGAAACTCAAAACCAGTGGTGCATTGGAGTGGGGGGACTTGACCATCACCTTCAACACAGACGGAAGCCCCATTTTCAAGTCGTCGAAGGCGTCTGTGTGGCCTCTCCAGTTTGTTATCAATGAAGTGCCGGCCTCCGAGCGTTTCTTGGCAAGTGGAGTTGCTGGCATTTGGTTCGGCACAAAACATCCGAACATGTCACTTTTCCTGGACAAGTTCGTCGAGCATCTCTCAAACATGAGCCCCATAGTTTGGCAGTCAAATTCAAGAACAGTGACTTCAAAAGTCTACGCTGTATGCTCTTGTGTCGATGCTCCGGCACGTGCTGCCGTCCAGAACCAAGTTCTCTTCAACGGTTACTTCGGCTGCCCATGGTGCTTGGCTCCTGGGGAACACGTTGAAGGTAAATTATATGAGATCTGTTCAACGTGTTCTCGTTCCTTTTGTCACATTATCTATTAATCATATTTTTTTATCTTTAACTGTACCTGCCCCCTTGCTTGGTTGCCCTTACAAAAAGTTGCAATATTTTTTTTTACCAGGTGCTATGAGGTATCCAGAGGCACAGCAGAGTGAAGAACGAACACACGAGCTCGTTCTCCGCGACATGGAGTATGCTGTTGCATATGACTCAACGGTAAATGGATTGAAGGGACCTTCTCCATTGGTGAACCTCAAGCACTATGACCTGGTGTCTGGCCAGGCATGCGAGTATATGCACTCCGTCCTTCTTGGCGTCACGAAGCAACTGACAGAACACTTGCTGGATTCCTCAAACTGTGCCGAAAGGTATTACATTGGTAAGTCTTGTGTACATAATGACCTCATGTTAAAAAACATTTCAGAATGCGAATTTCCAAACTATATAAAATGTTAAAGGGACACAGACACTCCCCCAAATGTGTATTTTTCTTTTTTTCTTGAATTTAATATGGTGTCAGAAGACTACCCAATCAATATTTTGCTACAGCATATCACATATTTTTAATAAAGTGAAAAAACGCAACTGCTGGAAACTGGACTGGGGAAGGGGAAGAAGTCTTGAGGAGGAGAGAGTTGCCGGAAATCATGTAACTACACCCGACCGCGTTTTCTTTTCCTTTCCTTAATTTTTCTGGTTGTGCAAAGCAGACGAAAAATGCGCACGTCAGAGGTCACGTGACTTCTGCACGTTTTTCAAGCTCTTACCAATTCGTGTAGCCGCCTCGGTGGCTCTGAGGCGAGAGTGCTGGCCTACAGATCCCCATGTGGCGGGTTCGAATCCCGGCCGAGGTGCCCGCAATCTGACGGAGGCTTTTTGCGGAGGAGGCGCCGTGTAACCGAGCTTTCGGCTGCACATCAAAAGATCCCTAGGTGGATCCTCAGTCCTCCACTGGGACGTGCCAGATGCCCGTCGTTGGTTTGGCACGTAACACCCCCAAATTTGATTTTGACCAAACCGTGTTCGTAAGGGTAAGGGATGCCTTCAGCCAGAAGGGGCACCGAGTTGGTGACGTCCGTGTGAATCAGCTTGGTAGTCGAGCGTGTCGTACGAAATAAATCTTAATTGCTTTGATTTGTGTACAATCTCTCTTACGAAGCTAGACAGGTTCGCTGGTACCGCAAACGGCAGTTCTAAAGCAGAGGTCCCACGCCCATCGTCCACTGCCATTGCTTAGTCCACTTCATTCAGCCGTCCAGCCCGCGACTCCTGCGATACGACACCATTTTGAGAATGGTGCAGAGAATGCACAGGGTGCTTCCAGTTCCCTGTGCAACTTTTTTTCTCAATCGGCTTTCTAGAGGGCACAAATAATGGCTATCATATATTTTTCTATTTTTAATATTCCATGTGTGCCTTCGATTACTTACGACTGATTATATTTGGTGTGTGTGTCTAAACCATTGAGAATGGCACGTAAACACGGAGACGACAGTAAGCGCAATTGAAACCGGCGAGTTCTCAATCGGTGGTTTTCGGGCGGAAAGAAAACGTATTTCGAGCTGTAAAGTCTGTTCTGGATAGTTGGGCTCTCATATGTCATGTACAAATAAAAACCTTGGCAAGCAGAAATGCCTTGTCAGTACCCCTTTAACTAAAAAGAAAAAGGGTTTGGGATTTTCGCAGACAATCGGGAAGTGAAATTGAGAAAAAAAAAACTTTAGTGTTGTTTACGTTGACATCGCCTTAGTTTTCGTTTTAGGGTTCGAGTTATCAAAATTCTGCTTACTCCTTTTGCATTCCTCTTAAACCAGTTTATTCAGGCTCAAATCGAATATTTGACTCTAGCCAAAATAAACTTGTGTCAGGGGACTGCAAAACCAATAAACGGTTGATTTGTCACGTGAAGTGACAGGACCTTATGTGATCATGTAACCTTTCACGTGATCGTAAGGTTCACGTGACTGCATAAGCTTACCTGATCACTATGGGCATCCGTCGAAGTTATTTTAGTTTAGCTCTAGCTTGTGGCAAACTTCCTCAAAATTGCCAAGGGAATTCAGAAAGCTAGACACCTAAGACAACAGGATATAGGCGAACACAGTATTCAGGTCCAGCTCTTAGCTTTGACTGGTGCTCCATTCCTAGCAGACCCCAGGTAGCACACCATGTCGGCCGATACTGGGATTACGTCGGCCAGTACCGGGAGCTGTACGGCGGATCCCGGCCAGGGACGCCGGTAAGAAACCGATCCCGGCCGATATCGGGGACTCGTTGTCTAAACTGGCCAGCGCCAGCCGGAAAGTTCCCGATACCGGCCGATATCGTTTTCTTGCTGTACTCACCGGCCAGTCTAGCCGTGGAGTTTCCGGTGACTGGCCGATATCGTTTTCTTGCTGTAGTCGCTGGCCAGTCTAGCCATGGAGTCTCCGGTGACTGGCCGACATCGTTTTCTTGCTGTAGTCACCGGCCAGCCTAGCCATGGAGTTTCCGGTGAATGGCCGATATCGTTTTCTTGCTGTAGTCACTGGCCACTCTAGCCATAGAGTTTCCGGTGACTGGCCGACATCGTTTTCTTGCTGTAGTCAGCGGCCAGTCTAGCCGTGGAGTCTCCGCTGACTGGCCGACATCGTTTTCTTTCTGTAATCACCGGCCAGTTCAGCCACGGAGTTTTCGGTGACTGACCGACATCGTTTTTTCGCTGCTTTCACAGGCCATTCGAGCCGTGCAAGTTTTGATATGTAACCGACATGGCTTTTTCGCTGATATATTAACTATATGATGGTTACAAATGACCGTTAGGTTGGACATGTCTTCAATTTGCTAGTGACACCTAATATTATCCTTGGCCTAGTATTAACGCCGCGTCATCCTTAAACCAGTTAACAAAGGCTTATTTCAGTTTTGTTAAAAAAGACGGGATCAAGCATGGCTGTGGAATGAAAATTCAATTTGTTTTACATCTATTAACTTTTAAAAAGCAGCTCTTAGACGCCCGTTTCCGGCTTGAGCGGCATCGCAGTCGCCGTCAGCGTAACCGCGCGTTGCATTATGGGAAACGTCCCATAATGCAACGCGCGGGTCTCACTCGTGACCCGCGCATTGCATTATGGGGCCTTTCTCATAATGACGGCGTGTGCGCGTTGCATTATGGGAAGCGTCCCATGATGCAACGCGCGGTCGGCGACGGCGACGCCAACATCGCCGTCGGCGTAACCGCGCGTTGCGTTATGGGAAACGTCCCATAATGCAACGCGCCGTCTCATTTGTGACCCGCGCATTGCATTATGGGAAGCGTGTCATGATGCAACGCGCGGGTCGGCGACGCCAACGTCGCCGTCGGCGTAACTACGCGTTGAGTTATGGCAAACGTCGTATAATGCAATGTGCAGTCTCATTCGTGACCCGCGCATTGCATTATGGGACGTTTCCTATAATGACATCACAATTGACGTCACATGTGACGTCACAAGGGTCCCGCACGTTGCATTATGGAAAAAGTCCAATGATGCAACGCGCGGGTCACTCGTGACTTGCGCGTTGCATCGTGGCGGCGAAACTTGCTTTCGATGAGTTGGGCATTTTTACTGCGTCACTGCGCTTCCGTAAAAATTTCCACATGTTCTCAACGGCAAGTGTCAGGGCTTACACAGGGTTTTAAAGAGCTTCTTCGACGATTGACTACGAACAAGTAGAAAACGTGTCTTCAGCATGTTGCCGCCAGCCTCCGAAACGCTCCAAAAACGCGATTTTTCAACATGCAAAATCGCCGATCGATGGCTTCACTCTCGTGCTGCAGCTGCAGCGACCAAGCGGGGATGCGCGATCCAGCCCTTTGCCCAGGCAGATGCCGAGCGCTCCGCGCAAGCGGTCGTTCAGCGGTCGGCCTCAGTAAGCGATCCACCCAGTTGCTCGCGCTGCCACCGCTTTCATAGCGTCTGCCCTCGCTTTTTAACAGTTTCGGTTCCCATTGCTATTTTTCTGAAAGCATGAAGTTCTGATCGGAACTTAATGCTTTGATAAAATGTCCTGCCGTCGTGGCGCTGTATGTTTTGCAAAGGGGCTGTTAAGCAATACCAAACGCGCATGCCGTAAAGCGACCGTCATCTCCGCAGGCGAGTTCCATCTGAGGGGAATTTGTCGTATTGTCTTCTAGCAAACGACATACCTAGCTCTTCATCCGAATAGGTGTGCACAACGTCTTCGACGTAACGCCATATCTTGGGCCTCTTCGCTGGCAAGGCGAATGAGTCGGCAAAGACTTTGCCGAGAACGGCTGCCTCGTCGTCACTCGAGCTGGAGCTAAGCTGGTATCCTCGTCGCTGTCACTGATTTCGCTGCTACTGCGTTTTATTAGACGATGTCAGCGCCGCAGTATGCTCGGGCCAGTCGGTCATGACAAGAGGAGCGAAAGCAAGCACAGCAAGAGAGCCCACCCAGCAATCGAAACAAAAAAACAGCGAAACTCCTTCATTTCCCCGCGGCAACGTTGATAACGAAACTGAAATGTTGCGAGTGACTATAGATCGTACTCCCCCGAAAAAGGCTGCGCGGAGAACTACTCCGGGTCCGAGCGGTCTGTCCGAGGAAGACACAGTTTGGGCGGCACATTCGTTTTTTACATCATTCTGCATGATCGTAATCGAAACATCACGTGCACCCTATATTCAACCAGAAAGGGTCACTACTTCCATAAACCCCTGCGTGCAACACGGCGCGCGTTGCTCTTTGGGAACTAGTTGGCCAGGGAGGAGAGGGGCATGGTTTCGGTTTCGATCGGCAGCGTGGACTATTAACGGCCGTGATCTCACGTTTTTTGGTCTCGAGAGCATCATTTTTGGTCTCTAAACTAACCTAAATGGCCAGACCTCGAATCTATAGCACAAGCCCGAGACGTATAGCTTGCCTTCACACATGCTTGTTGTATTTTTATACTCTATCGAGCCTTTCTGTTTGCGTTTCGAGATATATGTGAACGAGCCAGTGCTGGGAATCTCGACGCTGCGTAGCTCGGGTATCTTGCTTGTGTGCGAGTCAACAA